AATTACCTTTTGAATATAAATCTCCCCCAAGTTAATGAACATGACCAGTTAGTGTGGAGACAGCGGTTCCAAAATGCACCAGATGATGTGTTCTAGTCTTGGGTTTAATTTTGAAAATGGGGAGGAATGTTTGGTTCATGATTGGCTGGGACAGCGGTTCCAAAATGCACCAGATGATGATGCATCGATTGAATCTGTTAAGGCGTTGTGGGGAATTTGGCATCATAGGAATAAAGCAACTTTTGAGTATGTAGTGGAAGATCCTGGTTATGTTTTGAGATATATTAATTCTCTCCAGCTGGTGCATGAGCAAAGTAGAACTTTTAATGTTAATGATGCCCCTTTGTAAAGCAGAAAAATGGGTGGAGCTTCCACTGTAAATTCTTTTGTTCCAAGAAAATGCAGAATAGTAGCAAAATATATTGCTGGACTTATGTTATTTTTGTTGTTTGTATTTCTAAGTCCCTTGACTTCACGTAACAATGGTTCATGTTTTGGCTAAAGCAGCCTTAGTAGAAGGCCGAACAATGTGTAATTCCTTTTTGGATATAAATGATATTATCTTCCGTTTTCTCAGAAAAAATAGAAAAATGACAGGTAACTTTAAGATGATCTATAACATTTACTCACTTCTTTTTTTTTATCAAATTTAAATTTAATAAAAACGATACTCCAATCCTATCACCAAAATAATATCAAATGAAGTGCCAAAATTTTCATCAAATTGAGAAAACATTTTACCTTTCATCAAATTTCAGAATTGACCATTGGTGAATGACCAACCAAATGGGTAATTGGGAAACAACTAGGTGAATGACTAAATTTTGATCAAAATTTACTTTACGTCGGACAACTGACTAGAAAATTTACTTTACGTCGAACAACTGACTGGACGACCAACAAAATTGTTGAAAACAATTAAAGTGCATCATATCAAATCAAATCAAATTTTTCTTAAAGTTTTACTTAAATTTGTTGAAAGATTTGATGAACGATTAGAGAAGCTCTAAGAAAGCTCACTTTAAAAAGAGCTCCTTACCAACAAAATTTTTTGGGTGCAAGCCCCCTACCAATTTGAACATAGAATTGACCACCCCGTTTTAGTATTCACTTTGAATTTATATGTTGACATTTATTTGATAACTTTTGACACTTTTAGCCTTCGTTTGTGAAGTGAGTTGGTTTTTTTACTATTTTAACCTGAGACTAAAAAACCTCGTTTGGAAAGACTTTTTGGCTTTTTTGAATTTTTTGTGAGAAAAATATAATGATTATGGATTGGATGTGATATTTTGTTTTATTGTGCTAAAATAGCATATTTGGTCTTATATGGCTATTTTAGCCTCAACCCATCTTCTCAAACAAGCCCTTAATTTCTTTACTTTCATAGCTAAACACTTTAAATAACCTCCAAATTTTAGTCACAGAGTGAGTTTACATAATAATTTACCAAATACTAATAAATATTTTTTTTTTAACAAAAACACTAATAAATATGACAATATAAGTTTAAATATAAAAAGCCTCCAAATAAAATTTCTCTTTTAAGCCTCGTGAAAACTTGAACCTTCCCAACAAAACACCACTGCACAAAGAACATATTATCGATACTGATATCGAATTCTTCCAACCGAAGCATTGCATTTTTGATATCGAATTCTTCCAACCGAAGCATTGCATTTTTCAGGTACTGGCCATCTGAGAAGACAAGTTACATGATACAAAATCAGAATGAAGCATAAAAATTGTAATCATAAAGTATAAAACCTCCCTACCAAAAAAAAAAATGCTAATAAAACCACTTCATGTCTGCCAAATGATTCCTCAAAAATTATAAATTATAAATTCTACAATACTAAAAAAAGAAGAATCTTACTCTTCTAATAAATCACTATAATTTATTGCAAGGACTGCCCACTTGCACTTTAATGTGGGTTAAAATTTTCCCATGTTTAAAAACAAGGGTAAATTTTACACAGACTAACGGGGAAAATTTCACAATTTCAATATGGAGACTGTTTCGACTAAAAGTGTGCCGAGGACATTCTAACCAACATTAAAATGCAGGCGGATAGATGCAATTTACCCTACATCGCAAATATAAAGATAAAACAATCAAAAGAACCAAACAGTTTGGTTTGACAAAAAAATCTCATGAATTCACACCCATTTTAAAGATTGATATAAATATATATATGTAGACATATCAAAAAGCATACAAAATATTTACCTATTTACTTTATCTGCTCTAGTCTCATCAACAAACACTTCCAGATACAAACGGGCAGCATATGATTCTCTAATCACAATCACCCCCACAGTTTTCCCAACCTTCTTCCATATTATATTATAGAACTGATACCAGCAGGAGAAAGAGATTAAACCAACAATAGGAGAATAATGCAAATGGTAAATGAGCAATAGTAGGAAACCAAACTAAAAAGAAAAATATTAACAAGGTTCATCATGAAAAAGCAAAATAGTTATTGGCAGTCAATAGACAACAAAGGCATCCCATAAATGACACTCAGCCACTTAATGGGTCCCACAATTAACTACTTTAACGACTTATCACAAGACCGGGCACCTATATAGGAAGCTTTTAGCCCCCAACCACTCGAACCAAGACAGCTCATACGAAATTTGTCATTTGTCAACAGTGTTACAATGAATACCAAATGCGTAATTGAAATCTATGTTACGAAGACATGGACAAAATCCCCTGATTGTAATCAACCACCTAAAAATTTCACTTCAATTGTTATTTTGTTTAGAAAGCCATGCTACACAAGCCTAGCCAGGGTTTCCTCTTGATGACCATCAATATTATTCAGCTTCAATACTCCTAATTGAATAGGACACCACCGGATAACGTCTTTTATGTGTCTTTTGGGACCTGATTTCATACTCCACACCAAATAAGCCTTCAGTCCTTTGATGTTGATCACAAAATTATTCACTGTTGTCAGATGTCATCATGCTTTGACTTTTAACCAATGAACCACCCTGAATTTTACTAATTCAGTTAACCTCCAACCAAGAAACGTTCTTTTTGTCTACACACCAATTCATTTTGATCTAACTAGCTAACCATAAGGATTGACCAAGTGATAGCACCCCAAATCCAAGCTAACAAAAGTACACTCAAATGTACCCAAGACCAAAATTGCAAAAGAACACCACTATACCTCACCAAGATGCAGCAAACCAGTTATAGGGACTTGACAACCAAAATAGCGAAATTGGTGACTTATACGGGCTTGACAACAAAAATTAACCAGGCCTTATAGAAGGACGAGGAGAGACTAGGTGAACACAGAGAGATGGGTTAGGCCAAAAGATAGAGCTGGGTTAAGGCAAAATAGAGATGAGTTAGGGAAACAAAGCAAAAGGCTGCAACACCTCGGGCTGTAAAGCACACTCCCATTTTCAACCTCACTTTCCATTTTGCTGTCTCGGAGTCTAAACACTAATTAAAAATCCCACTAAGTAAAAAGAAGAAAAGGTAAGAGGTTTGTTTGGTTTTTGAGAAAGGAAGAGAAGATGGGTGAGAAAGATGATATAGTTTGGTGTTGAGTTCAGGCTTGGGACGACAACAAAATCAGCCATTAAATTTTAATCCCATACCTTGAGAGTTTACGCTAAATCATCAGAGGAAGGGCTCCTGGAATAAAAAGTTTCAATCATCAGAAACAGAATGGATTACGGCTCAGCTCAGAGAGAGAGAGAGATGGGTACCAACTCTTTGATATTAGTTTTCCTTTCTCATGAAATCTGCTATTTCCAGAAAGGTTGTAACTGACATGATATTATATATCCTTTGCTATTTTCCCTATATTATTGGTAATATTATTACAATTATTGTTACTGCTATTGCTATTATGATAACTACTACTACTATTATGATCATTGTTGCTATGCTGTTGCTGCTGCTACTACAACATTAAGACTATTAGTACTAATATTATTGTTAGTTTTATTATTAGCACTTTTATATTATTATTATAACTATTTTGATGGATCAGAGGGCAAAGGATTGTCTGTGCTCAAAACTTTCTTCATCACCACTTCGTTCACAAGTTCCAGACCAATGTCTATAGAACCGGACAGGACCGGCTGGTTCAACCAATAGAACCGATGACCAGACCTAGTTCCGGTCCAGTCCAGACAGCCAAAAACCAAGCTTGTTTGCAAGAACCAGAAAAACCGGTGGTACAGCCCGTGAACCGGTCCCGGTTTTCAATTAACCTGCTGGTTGCAAATTTTTGATTTTTTTTTTCTTTCTTTTTTTCTTTCATATATATATATATATATATCAAAATTTTGACTAAAAACTCTTACTTCAAGAATCACCTCCCATGAGGAGTCTCATTAGAAGCTTGAAAAGATTACGAAATTCTATTCCCATTTATAGGAAAAGATTGTTCAAAGAGAACCTAAAAATTCTATTTATCCAAAAAAAAAAAAAACCTAAAAATTTTATGTCGGATTCAATCAAATTATTTGAATCATATTTGATTGTAGGGAGAATTGAAAATTTTATTTCCCTCCAAAATTAAATTTAGTATTCAATCAATTTGTTTAGAGGAAATATTAAAATTTTTTAATTTCTTTAAAACTAAAGATTTTTTTTTTTATCAATTATGACTTTATTAAATATTATTAGTAAATACTATGTAACAATTTTTATTTCTGTACTTATATTTTTTTTTTTTTTATATATAATTTATAATTATATATTATTAATTATGACGTCACGGTTCGATCACTTTGACCCGACAATTAAACCAGTGACCTGTCCATCCGGTCCCTTTTCCGGTTCGCTCACCAGTCCAGTTTTCAAAACATTGTTCCAGACTACAAACACACTGACAAATATAAGCAAGGCGAACAGCAGAATTGGTAAATCACATGCAATACAAGATATCCACCAAAACAAAATCTTAGCATTTTTCAGTTATAAACTTCAAGCGTGAAGGAAACAAAGAAAAGAGTTAAATCTAACTAAAATCACCAATAATGGATATTGTGCACCTAATCCGTTTAACTTCAAGAGCAGGGGATCCTTTTATAACCTATTTGATAGTTTGGAAGATTAGGTAGTGCAGTCTGCAATTAGTAGGAATATCTCAACTGAAAAGGGCATTACATGCATGCATACATCCATCCACACATACATATGTATGCACACTTGGCAATTAACTCTCATCTTAAAAATTTGAATTGAGATATTTATCTTATCTAACAATCAAACACTTCAAACTAATGAACAACTTACAAAATTTTATTGAACATAATTAACAAAAGAAGAAATTAGCATGGAGTTTTAAGGGGGAAATATTAAAAATAGGCTAATAAATAATTGCTACTTTTTATTTCATGTAGGAAGGTTAAACTACTATGATCAAATAGCCTAAAGCTGAAACTCCAAAATAGCCAGCAATTGTAAAACACAAATACAACCCTTAGTAATGAAATGTCATTATAGTAATATTTATTAAGTGCGTTGTTTCAAACCTCACAACCAGCAGAACCCCGGATTATATATAAACCAATCCGCAAGCTCTTAGAACATTTATTATTGCCACAATCCTATGTGGCACCAGCTCTGGCAAGGACCAAACATCCAGCAAGGGGTGCAAAAGGTGTTTGAAATGGTTTCTTCGACTTGACAGAGAATAAGATGAGGTGACTGCACGGTGTTGTAAAAGGCGCGCCTAGGTGCAAGGCGCAGCTGCCTCGACTTGTACAAGCCCAAGCGAGGCACGTTTGAAAAGGCGCACCAAGGCACGCACCTGGGGGGCTTAAAGCACAAGGTACAAGGTGCAAGGCACAAAAAAGCACTCTCTATGAAGCACCGACACTTCAAAACAAGTGCCGTGTCCGTATCGGATACACGGACACTTCGGGGTCACGCAGACACGGCAGGTACAAGTATGGGACACACCGGGGACACTTCGGGGACATACCAAGTTATCTTTTACCCCATTTTATTTAGTGTTTTTGATAAATGTTGAACATTGAATATTTAATATTTTGTTCTTAGATTTAAATACTTAATAGATCAACCATAAAAATATATATAAATTGTAAGTGTTAATTTAAAAGTTTAAAAAAAAAATTAAAATTATAGAATTAGAGTTAGTTTTTGTTAATATTGATTGTTTGTGGATGGTAATATTAATCTAGATAGAAAATAAAAATATATGAAAACATATTTTATTGTCTTGTCCCTGCCATGTCCATGCCCGTGCCCCCATTTTTTTTTGAAATTGCTGTGTCCCATGCTCGCATTCGTATCCGTGTCCGTGCTTCTTAGAGCATGCTTTATTGATATTCTGCTATTTAATTTTTGTTTTAATCTCAACAATTTTACATTTTTTTTGGTCTATGATGAAATTCTATGAAGCATAGGCACAAACACGGGACACGGCGATTTCAAAAAAAATAGGGACACAAAAAAGGTAGGGGACATGGAAATTTTTTTTTTAATTATATATATGTATTTGCAATAAATAAAATTCTATTATTTTAATTATATATATGTATTTGTAATAATTAAAATTCTATTTTTTAAAAATTATATTATATATTTAAATAAACAAAATAGAATACAATATGATATTTATTATACATAAAAAAATATTGTATATATATATGATATTTAAAAAATGTTGTATATTTATTATTGTCTATTGTATATATATTTATTATACAATATTTATTATTGTGTATAAATATATACAATAGACAAGAAAGAGAGACACACACGACAAAAACAAGAGAGATGAGAGGAGGGAGAGAGAGAGAGGCGAGAGATGAGATCAACGATTGATTACGCTTGATGAATGGAGGTTGATGACAGAGACGAGAGACGAGATCGATGACAGAATTGCAGGTTCACTTTTCTCTTCTCTCTCTCTCTCTCTCTCTCTCTCTCTCTTTTCTTCTTATTCTAGATTAGGTCGCTTCTTCTCTTTGATTAGGGTTTTCTAATTAGGGCTTCGATGAGGTCTCTTCTCTTTGATTACGGCTTTCTGATTATCGCTTCCATTAGAGCTTTCTGACCCTGCCATGTCCACTTCCATGTCCCATACCAAAAAAAATGGGACATGCCAAATGGCGAGTCTTGTACGTGTCCGGCACATGTCCCCATGTCCGACACCGCTACGACACCTATTTTGAAGTGTCTATGCCTCATAGATGAAATTATATGTGCTGCCACAGTGGATAACAGTTCTCAAATGGAAATATGTGCAGCCACACTTGATTAAAACTCAAAAAAAAAATGGTCGATACATCTAAATTTTCTTTTTTTTTTCTTTTCTTATTTTTCTTCTTCCAGCCTGCTGGTTCATATATATATATATATATATATATTTTTGGTTAGGTTTTTTTTTCTCCCTTCTCCTTCCAGGTTCCAATTTTCTTTTCTTCTTCTCCTCTCCTTTTTGATGTTTTGAGATAGTTAAACTAAACTTGAATATTGGTGCTTTTAATGAATGTTGATTATTTTGCATTTGGAATGATATGATCTTTTTTGGGCTTTGAAAAATTATTATTTGCTTTAGTTCTTTCATTTTTTATTTTTAAATTATTTGTCTCAGGTGTTTATAAGTTGTGTATGCTGCGTTTTGGTTATGTTGATATCTAAATCATTAGTCTATGTTAATATATCTATTTTCTATCGAAAAGCTGCACCTTGCTGCAATGAAGCAATGAAGCGCGCCTCGCCTTGCCCTTAAGCCCCAAGAGACCTTCGGCGCCTTGGTACGCCTCGAGCTTTTAAAAACACTGTGACTAGAATTCATTGCTTGACATGTGAACTTATCCCTAATGGTACATTAAACCCAAATTATATACATATAATTCATTGCTTTTATGCCAACACTATAGTAAAACTAGAAAAAGGATAAAGAACTTTATATCATTTAACTTAGCATTCTACTAGAGAAGTTCACCATGTTGAAACAAGATATCTAAATAAATATTTTGCAATTTGCAGTTATTCTGACACCAAAAACTCAATGTTCTAGATGTGTTCAAATTTCTTGTAATTATGTCATATTTGAACATCCAAAAAAGAAGGCTGCTAAATATCACTGTTTTTTTTCACCAAACTTTTCACCTCTAATGCGGTTTCCTATGTAGCATGATAAGCTAGTTTCAAATAAAGTGGGTTCTACACATACAAGTGGCTTTTATTGCATGAGTACACATGAGAAGTGAAATAAGGTGAAATAAATCCGGTGATAAACAGCATTTCTCTGTCCAAAAGATTTTGCCCCAAAGAATCAGGATCTATCTAAAATAAGGTGTAGCAAAGAACATACCTCTTCAACAAGAACACCTTTCGAAATATTGAACTTCGAGATAATCTTTTCCAACTTGCCTACACTTGCCGCATAAAGATTGGTCATTACCAAGCCAAGCCAAGGTCGACGGGATTTCCTACGCCATGATACAAACCATTAGACCCTCTAAGACGGCTTCATAATGCTTCCCATATATCATTTTTTTTAGTACCTACTTCACAAAAGATCTAACAAACTTCCAAACTACATATTTCTTTTTTTGTGAGAGCAGTGTGTGTGTTGGGGAGGGGTCGGGGGGGAACATAATTGAGGATATCTAGCAACACAAAATAAGCAAAGTACAGACATGGAAGCTATGATGATTTGGAGAACATACCGATTTTTTTTAAATCCCAACAAGCATTGGGAAACAATATTGATCGGTAGAAAAGGGGTACAAACATCATCATAAAAATTGACTCCAATGACTTCTCCATAACGATTGATAAGGGGTCCCCCAATACCACTCTATCAAAGAAAATATATCATTAGTTGAAAGATTGCTAAAAATACATACAATCTACTCAAATAAAACCCAAAGCACAGTGCATTAACTCATACATACCACACAGCATACATCAATTATTTTCTACAACACTCTAGGGACAGATTGCACTCTCAACATGTATGCTCTACATTCTACCGCATACTGGATGCCTAAATGTGGACTACATTCAGCATATATATAAACATATAAGCAATTGTTGGAAATAAATTAGGATTACACATTTATTATAATAATATAAACTAGCCAGACTTGGAGCGGATTTTGAAGGCAAATGCGAACTCCGGCCTGAATCCCAATGGAGTCTGAACGAAAATCCGCCCCTAACCCTATTGAGCTCTTACCAACTTCGTTCCAATAAGGGCAAGGAGGTGTGGGGGCAAGTTAACATCTACTCCACCTCTAACCCTAAACATATAGCCTAAAAAGCACGGACACTTCTAAGAATGTGGTATATCCGTGTCGTGTCGGTGTCCGATGGACACCAACACTTGTTGGACACTTTCCCGACACATGTCCGACACTCGACAAAACATGCCCTATTTTTTTTCAAATATTTTTAGACCCGAACACTTGAAGGACGAACGTGTCCATCACTTAAATACATGTGTTCATCGATTAAACACATGAAACTAAATATAAATTTGAAAAAAATAACTTAACATATAATGACAGAAGGAAAACATTATAAGTGCTTGTTTGGCATCTTCTATAAAAGACAAAAAATCAAAAAATTACTAAAAAAGCCAAAAAGTTATCATTATTCACAAAAAAAAATTATAAAAAAAATTATAAAAAAAAAACAAATTTACACAGGCCAAGTACAAGCCAACTGTGTATTGAAGTGATGGTAAGTGATAGTATAAATTTACACAGGCGGGTGCACAAAAAATTTACACAGGATGGTGTTGTTCAGCCCGTGGGGGCCCATCACTGGTCCCGTTTTGATAATCTGAACCGTTCAATGTGTAGAACTCATCGAGTGCTATATTCCTATAAAAAATCACATTGATCAGATATCGATAGCTATATGATCAAATCAGTTTTGTACAAAAAAAAAAAAAAAAAAATAGACGGTGGATAAATTAACAGTTGACAAAAAAATAATCCGATGAGATAGCTATCGATATCCAATCAACTTGATTTTTCACAAACATATAGTACTCGACGAGTTCTGCACATTGAACGGTTTGAATTATCGAAGCAGGACCCGTGGTAAGCTCTCACGGGCCGAACAGCACCGTCCAGTCCACCACACAACTTCAAAGCAACGAGTACTATATGGCTTCCTAAGCAATCACTATCAGTACACGCATAGGGGGCATTAGGGGTAATCCGGTAATTTTGCTATTTTATACAATATTTTAATACACATTTTTTCGTAAAAAGTCAAAAAGTTATCCCAAACAACCATCTTTTTTTCCTCTATTTTTTTATCCAAAGAATCAAAAAGGGCACTTATATAGTTCATCCCAAATAACTCCTAAATATATAGAAGTTGGTGTTATATTGCAATTTTTTTATTTACAAATGATATATTTCTATTTATGAGATATAAATATATAAAATTAAACATTTTGTACAAGTCTCCTACGTGTCGTGTCCAACATTTTTTTTAAATTGTTGTATCCATGTCTGTGCTTCTTGGCATAGCATACCAAGAAAAATTAAAAGACAAAAATTCATCATCATTCACCACCAATTTAAAACCAAAACCAATATAGTTATAAGAGAGAGGGAAAAAAGAGAAATTATTACTTTTGTAATAATGCAATTTGCCCTGAAAAGCTCTTTGCAATCAAATTTGCAGCAGTCAAGACTGCACAGACAGAAAAAGAGCAAGTGTGAATAATTGTTATGCCACTTACAAGCACTGTGATCAACAAAAAATAATGCAATATTTGGGTAATGGATATCGTATACAATTAATCTTTGACAGACTGTACATGCACTAAGATATGTCTTACATTCTCTTAGTTGTGTAAGAAAATTGTAATAACGTAAATTTAAACATGTAAAGTAAATTTACTGTGTACCTGAATTTGCCAGGTGCAGCCATAAGGTCACGGGTTCTACCACAGGAGCGGCCAATGGCTACAACCATATCTCCCGGACAAAGTCTAAATAAATTTGAATGACGATGAAGCTGAAACGATTTGTAAGCCACCTCATTGTCCCCAGCACCAGAGATCTCACTTGGATCTACTGAGATTGAATCATCCAAAGGTCTAATGATTGCAGTTGGTAATGCTACATCTGTTTCAATACTAATAGTAGCAATGTTGAAGTGAAAATCATAAGCAATCACATGACCGTTAAATGGATTATCATTCATTACATAAACATCAACCTGCAATAATAATAAATCATACCCACCCAAAAAAATTATAGTAAGTTCTTTTAGCTAATTGAAAAACATTGAATAGTATTGTACTATGCCAAGTGTTTTATAATAAATAAATAAAAAATAAAACAACAACAACCACCTTAATGTCATCTAGTATAGCATTTGCATCAATAGGTGATCTTAGGAGAGTCGCAGAAGTTAAAATGGTACTGATGAATGTTCCATTAACATCCTCACATTCTATTATAGTCCCAGAACATGCAAACATCTTCCCACCTAGACATTGAAATAAATAAGCAAAGTCTCTACATGTGTGTATAGCATTTGTATAAACATGAAAGCACATGCAAGAATGAAAACTTTCATTGTCAATTAGTTGAGTTTACAAAATAAGCAAAGTATGAACGAGTACATCTAATTAAAGGAAGAATGGTATGAATGGATTTAGAAATACAAAGCAAAAAAATAAGGGTTTCCACCACTCCCAACCTTGAACTCTTCTGTAAGGGCCCTCGCTCCCTCGCTCCTGCTTCATGCAACTATGGTTCAAAATCCAGGGGCCCAAGTCAGTTGCCTTGGTTGCCTACCCCAAGGTCAAACACAATGACCTGTGTTACATGGACTTTTCTAGTTCCTCCAAAGTACCCATGTCCACCAAATATGACAAAAATAAGGATGTGGGATATGTATACGACACCGATACCCAATTTGGACACTTGATCTCCAATTTTTTACAATGTTTGATGAATAAGAAACTCAAATTTGCTAGGAAAAAAACATTTGTAGCCTCCAACAATAGATGAAAGAAATTCTATTTTTTCCTAAATCCTATTGAATTTCAAGCACATTTCTACATAATTTATAAAACTTAATCAAAAAATATTATAGTATAATATTTAACAGATATAACTGTTCATAATGACACTATGTTTGGATTGAGTGACTTGGAAAGAAAAGAAAATAAATAGAGAGATGTGTATTTCTCTTACTTATTTGGATAATTTAAGTGGAGAGAAATGGAGAAAAACTCATTTCTCTTATAACTCTCATTTTCAATCTTCCCAAAAGTGGAGAGATTAGGAGAGAAAAGAAACCAACATATTCTTATATTTTCATAATGCCAATTTTGTCCCTATAAAATAAAAGAAATAAAATGATTGACAAAATATACAAAGATTATTTTGGTAATATAACATAAAACAGTTTCTTTTCTTTTCCATTGTGAAATCTAACCAAACAAGGAGATAAATCACAATCTTTTTTTTTCCTTTTATTTCTTACTCATCCAAACAAAAAAGAGAAAATCGCAATCATTTCTTTTCTTTTCTTTTCTTTTCTCTTGTAACTTAAGTAATTACTTCTTTTCTTTTCTCTCATAGGTTCCCAAACATAGTATGAGTCCCCATACCCGTATCCTATTTTTGGATACATACCCCCAATATCCCAAGATCTAAGTTTTTGAAGGTTTGACGCTTACACGCGCACACGTATTGGATACTCGGGTCAAATCAAGGAAAAAATAATCACCAAATTTGATGAAAGAAGCTTTTGGGGACAATGTTGGAATTTTTAAAAAGGATTTGATGAAATTTTTAAGGGAGGATTGGAGTATTCAATTTTTTTTTTTTACCAAATCAAGCTTTTAGTTAAATTTGATCAAAAGCTATTGGAGCATCCCATATCAAATTAAGTTTTCAACCAATTGTTTACCCAAATTTGATAATAAAAAAAGAAAGAAAGATGAAATTAGAGGTGCTCTAACATAGCCGCTGACAATGACGTATATGAAGGATAACATGAAGAACAATAAAGCATGACATAATAATGTGGTATATACCACCCACCTGTAAGGGATGTAAGACAGACAACTGAAGGAGAAGCTTTCAAAGCCGCTCTTTTGGTATCAATATCTACGTCCATATTAGCATATACAAAATGGTCAAACCTCTCCCCAATACTATGTCGCGGAATTACGAATGAACCTGTTTATATCATCATTATTAGAAAATAAAAATATATATAACGACAAAAATTTGTCCAGCCAATGTTTTTACCTTCCCGTTCAGGGCGTTTCCGTTTCCATGGGCTAACGCTATTCATCTTTTCTTCCGGTCGGCGATGATCAAGTTTCATTCTCTGGTGAAGATTTAGAAATTGATTCCTAACCCTAAACCCTAATCCCAAGATTTTGATCTTGCGAGGCCGAAGGTATATGCAATTTTCAATCAATAAAATTTACACATATATATACTCAATAGTATACATAATAAAAATAAAACAAAATAAAAATGAGATTTAACGAAAATAAATATAAAAAAATTATTTCTCCCATCTCAAAAATAAAATTATATAAAAATAATTTTCAGAAGATAAAATCATATAAAAATAATTTTATTTTATTTTTTTTCAAATGTCAAATATAAGGACAATTTCGATGTCATTATTAAACCAATTCAAAATATCAAAAAATTAAAAATTTAAAATTAAAAATATTTCATATATTAAATAAATCGATTACACATTAAAAACCTAATAGTCATCCATTACATGATAACCATAATAATCATCCATTACACTATAACCACCCAAAAATATTTGTTAACAGCAAATATAACCATCTATTACATGATAACTATAATTAATATATATATATATATATATCAACAAAAATGACCAATCATTACATGATTATCATCCAAACACATATTAAAAATTAATTTGATAAAAAAAATAATAATGTAAAAGATTTATCATTTTTATGTAATTTTATCTATGGTGGGTTGAAATAATTTTTAAAAATTCAAAAATAATTTTTTCACATTTATTTTTATCAACCTAGTTTATATTTTATCAAATTGACAACTTTACCCTTGAAATAGAGCAATAATGTTTTTAATTGTCCTTATTTGAAACGATATTCAAAATTTAGGACCAAATATATTACAATTGAAATATTAGGAATTAAAATAACACAAGTCTCAAACTACAGTAATCGTTAATGTAATTCGCCCTTGTAGCGATCCCGGTTTCGATCTTTCTTTCATGATTTGCCACTTCGACTAAGCCGGTCGGGAGTCGAGCTGCCCGGTCAGCTCGCGAGGATCCAGGGAGCAGCGCTCCTTGGCGGGTCTTAGGGCAGCGCCTTGGCGGGGTTAAGGGACAGCGCCTCCAAAACAAATGCAAAATGAATTCGAAGTTGCTTGTCCGCTCGAGCGGCCGTTTATACGCTCGAGCGGAGAATGTTTAGTTTCAGAAGTTTGACTTGTCTGCAAAAGTACTAGGTTAGAGTATTTGACACTCGAGCAGGGCATTACACGCTCGAGCGAACCATGTTATATCAGTTCGTAAACCTGATATTTCATGTCACTTTTTCAGTCCTCTCTCTCTCTCTCTAAAACTCTCCAGAATTCCAGATCGAGAGCTTCTATCTCTAGAAGTCATCTTCTCTCTTTGATTTCTCCAAATCCATTGGGATTTAGAACAAAGTTCTTCACCAAAGTTGGTTATCATCTCGAGAGATTCGTTGTGTGCAGTGAAGATCGAGTTTCGACACCGTTGATTTTGGGGATTTCATCTCATTTCTTCTTCAAAACTTAAGGTAGGGATTTTCTTATAGTTATATATATGTTTTTGCAAGATCTTTTAGTTTCAGAAGTTTGACCTGTCTGCAAAAGTACTAGGTTAAAGTATTTGACGCTCGAGCGGGGCATTACACGCTCGAGCGAACCATGTTATATCAGTTCGTAAATCTGATATTTCATGTCACTTTTTCAGTCCTCTCTCTCTCTCAAAAACTCTCCAGAATTCCAGATCGAGAGCTTCTATCTCTAGAAGTCATCTTCTCTCTTTGATTTCTCCAAATCCATTGGGATTTAGACCTAACTTCTTCACCAAAATTGGTTATCATCTCGAGGGCTTCGTTGTGTGCAATGAAGATTGAGTTTCGACACCGTTGATTTTTGGGATTTCATCTCATTTCTTCTTCAAAACTTAAGGTAGGGATTTTCTTATAGTTATATATATGTTTTTGCAAGATCTAGATGATTTTCGAAATCATCCTTTAATTAACTTCAAGAAATTGATTGTTGATTTCAAGAAGATGAGTGATTTTGAAAGAGGGTTTAATTCATTTTCCTTTTAAAATAGAAATTGAAGGATTTGAACCATATTGATTAAAGAAAGATGATTTTGGAGAGATTCTTCTAAATATCTAGGAGATGACTTGTTTTTGGTGAGAAAACCTAAAAATTGGGTATTTTCTTTGAAAGATGTTAAAAATCCTTAGAAGATGTTGTCATATTTATTTTGTGTACCAAAGTAAATGGATGTTTTGAAAATTGTTTCTTTATATATAAATGATGAATTTTGTGAAAAAAATGAGAAATGTTGTTTATTTTGAAAATTGTTGTCAAAATGTTGATTTAGTCTTGGATTGACTAAATTATTGAGATTGCTCGAAATGTGGGAATTATGTTATTCTCTTGAATGAATTGGATATAAAAGTATATATATATATATATATTCATCTTGTGGAATTGTGTTGAAAAGGGGATTGGGAATTTTGATCACAATGGTATATTGTGTGGAACAATTGAATATGGAAGTAATGTTGCATTGCATTATTAAGCATACATTGGCATTTCAATTCATTGGACTATGTTAAGATTTGGAAATTTGCATTGAGAAAAGAATATTGGGAAATGGGTTTTCATGAAATGGTTTTTGGGATAAATACGGTGGTAAGTCTTGATAGGTGATGTAAATGAAATTGTTTAAGTTGGCTTAAGTGTCCTTAGTGAAAGACTAGAAAGTCGCGCGGATAGGTGCCGAGCCTTGGGGTTAATATCGGTAAAAATGACAATTGGTAGTACTCGTATAGTCTACTTACAGACACCGACCTAGGGTGTAACGCCCCACTTTTTATTACTCGAAGTCATTACCAAATTTATTAGCTTGATTCAAGTTCAGAGATAACATGCGGAAATGAACTCTTTAGTCCCATGAGTAGAAATAAATAACAATTCTCTCATCTGAATGCAATTTAAATACAACATGAGCATACTGAATAAAATGCCCGAAGGCTTACATCATTAAAGAATCAAAAGAAGGGTGTAACCCTTTTTCACATATGGCATTCCGCCAACACAAAAGAGGCCCCGTGGCCAACAAGTAAGAAGATCCACATCTCGTAACACATCCTGCTTAACACCTGAAAAAGATTCAACAACGTGGGATGAATATATAGTCCAGTAGGGATCTCTACATGATTCTCAACAATAACAGCTTACAGATAGCTACGATCATGAATGCTCAATCTCGTACTAGAATAATAATGTGGCAGTTTATACAAAAGTATACATAAGTATAAGCTTTTCTCAAAACAGTCAATCCATTCAGCGCTATAAGCGATTTATCTTTCATTTCATTTCAGTAACCCTTGTTCCAAAACTTTCACAACAATAACAACTTCTTAGGAAATCAATTTCTCTAAGCCCATTATCTTTCTCCCATTTTCCATACTTACAACGAATGTTCCCTTTTTCAAAACATACTTTCAAATACCCAATTTTCCTTCACACTTTCCCAAAATCTCACAATGGCATTTTGGTTTGTTTCCAATATTCATAACTATACATACATGCCTTCAATATAAGGGAGATAACAAATCATCAACATGTATAGAATCAACAAATGAGGCAACTCGGCCCTCCAAAACTGTAACCATCGCAATCCATGATATATTCAGATACACTGAAACAAAACAATAAAACTCTGCTCTACCAGCTATATGCACAGTAAGCCAAAGATACAACTCTCACAATGGTATGCTATTTTACCAGGCGCTAGCTGGAAGGGTGTGGTACCTTAGATTCTCAACGCAGTCAGTTCTCCAGGCGCTAGCTGGAAGGTAACGGTACCTCTGATTATAAGCGCAGGGTATAACACCAAGAATCACAATACCACAGAGTATAACCAACAAGTGTAATACACACACATAAACTATCAAGATACATAAGCAATGTGTTAAAGTATGTGAACACATAAGTATGTGTGGAGTACATCCCCTATCTCCTCCTACACACTGGAGTACATCTCCTTTCTCCTCCCTAACAATTTATACATATATAAAGTATAATAGCACTTCATTACATACAATGTTCAATCAACACAGGTGTAATGCATACACGACAACTTAACACAACCATGTCATCCTCCACCAATGACCAAGGACAAAACCTCTAGATGCATGATTTTAGTACATCTATTATAAAGACTCAACTCTCATGAGATCTTAAACCCAACAACGACACTAGTACGATAGGTAAGGGTAATCCTGAAATGTGTGTATTCAACACTACAACAATTAATTCTCATATTTATTTTCTAAAACTCACATAGAGTTAACATTTCATTACCCATTTCCAAGATCGACTTCCAGTATTTTCCAATTCCAAAACCCTTTTTCATTTCATAAAACCAATATCATTCCTCTCATAACTTTCCAAATCAATTATGCAAATTAATTCATAACAGTAAATTAGGGCTTTTCTCCCTCTTTCTCAAAATTGACCGAAAAGGCTCAAATACCAACAACAAATAACAATAATCTCATTTGAGACCCCAAATACATACTGTAGACGCGCCCGCGGAGGGGGGACCCCGCTGCTACAGTTCGGACTCGCGATTTTTGTTGTCGCGGTTCTTAATCTGAACCAAAGAGTCCAAATCTGGCAAATCGTTTTGAGAAACAGATTTTTGAAAAAGTAGTGCCAAACATGGACTGCTTTGCCAGATACAGAGTACAAAGGTACACGCTCGAGCGTAAATTTTCCCGCTCGAGCGTACTGTAAAGGTACTGGATGGGTGAAATCCCCGCTCGACGCCCGCTCGAGCTTGAGACATGACTCCGCTCGAGCGCCCAATCCTCCGCTCGAGCGGACTGTAAAACAGTGCAAGATGCTGGAAGCTCGATTTTCCCGCTCGAGCGGCACTTCCCCCGCTCGAGCGGACGACTGAAATCTGGAAATCCCAGATTCGAGCTCCAGGTTCAAAACCAAGCTCAAAAGCATCAAAACCAATCCTCTTGGGCCCATTTTCTGGAAAACATTTATAAACACATAGAATAACATGTTTCAAAGCTCAATTTTAAGAAATCAAAGCCCAAGGGTGTTTAATTCAAACTCAATTTAAACCATTTTTCAAGTACAAGATGAACATGCAAACATGCA